GTTTAATCGTCACATTAGATTTGTCTCAAGGAATATCAACAGAAGATGAGTTTCCATAGGATGACAACTAGAGGGCAGTAGACAGTATAAAACAATAGATCAGGGTTTGGCTTGTTATTTTCTACTGCAAAGCCCCTGCTGGTAGAGGCTGTAACTATAACATTATGTTGGCAAAAAGCATATTTCTTCACTGACCAGTGTTATTTTAGTATAATTTAAAATACTATTATTTTATATATTTTTTCTAAATATTTTGAATTAGTTTTTTTAGGTAACACTAAGTTCTCACTTATTTTAATGTGTCCCTGTTACACGTTACATGTACTTACTATTATAATAACAATAAATTATGCATAATTACATGCAAGTAACCCTAAGCCAAACCCTAATCCTAACCCTAACCATATAGTAAGTACATGTAGTTAATTAATATTACTTTGTACTTAAATGTATGATTACACTGTAACAAGGACACCTTAAAGTAAAGTGTGGCCGGTTTTTATTTTTATTTATTATATATATTTTTTTCATTTAAATTTTAGTGAACGTTTTAGTAATTTGTTGTAGTTTTAGTAAATTGTATCAGTTTTTGTAATTTGTTTTATTTTTTAATAATTTTTATTATAATAATTTAAAAAATATTGTATTAAAAATGTTGCCTTGGCAACTAGCTGAAAATAAATAAAATAATTTCAAGTTTTATTTTATTTCAGTAAACATTTTATTTAAATTTTTAATGCATTTTTAAAGGTTTTAGTTTTAATGTGGTTTACTATAATAACCATAACATTCGCGGCGCTATTAAAAAAGTAGCTTATTTTACAAGCAACATATAAAATGCAAATATTTCAATATATTATATTTCCATATATTATTAGCATTTATTATTCCATATACTTTTATTACAATTTCCCATTTACAGCCTAAAATATCTGTCCATCCAAAACACAAGGTAAGTGTTATATAACAGCATTCCATTACTAAAACTATCAACAAACACATACCTCTAAATATTGGCCACAATAATTACACAAATATACAAACTCAACCAGAACTAAACACAAATTACAGTATTTTTGCAAAATGTGAACATGTGAATGAGAGGCCCTCTCTGCTTGAGTACAGTAGGTGAACAAGTAAATCACCTATACATATGAATTATTTTGTATATAATAATATTCAGAATATAATAATATAATAAGTATAATATAAAAAGTTGTTAAAGTTTTGAAGGCTAATTTTAAAGAGTTTAAAATGTGCATGAATTATATACATATACTATAACATTACAAATCAAACTTTTGGTACAATCAGTTACATGATTTTAATATGCAGTGTGCTACACTTACATAGTCTACCATGGTCTAGTTTGTGGTCAAGTTATCACTGCTTACAACCTTCCACAGCTTTGACTTATGACCTCCACATGTTAGCTCAGGGGTCATTTAATTCACACAGAGTTCATGTATATTGTTCCTGTCTGAGGTCTGTATCTTTGCTGAATGGTGCCAAACATTATGTGTGGTTCTGACAGACTGCTGAATCCACCAGAGTGGCGGCCTTGGCACTGAGCCCTCCCAGCATGCTCAGCAAAAGTCCTGCACTAGCATTAATCCCCTGATAGGGGCTCCCGCTATTGTCAGAAGGAGAGGAAAAGAGCAGGGATTTGCTCACTGTAGCACACTGTGGATCTGAGTTGCAAATGTGAATGCATGGTTGGGGAGTACTGTAGTTTCATCAGAAGTCTGTGCTCATCTCCTTTAGTAGGCTTATTACAGCATTCTTTTAAACATTCTAAATATAAGAACATATGACATTTACTTTAGCCTGTGATTTACACAAGCACTTAAACTGATGCAAGGTTTTTTCATGTTAAAAACATGTAAATGTCATATTCATACACTCTTAAAAATAAAGGTGCTTCACGATGCCATAGATTAGAAGAACGTTTTTTTCTAAATGGTTCCATAAAGAACCTTTAACATCTGAAGAACCTTTCTGTTTCACAAAAGGTTCTTTGTGGTGAAAGAAGGTTCTTCCGATTATAAAAAGGTAAGAAAGAGATGGCTCTTTAAAGAACCTTTGACTGAATGTTACTTTGTGAAACCAAAAATCGCTGTGAAGAACCTTTTAAGCACCTTTATTTGTAAGAGTGTAATTCACTGAAGATGCATTTATTGGTTGGGTCATTGCTCTAGAATTATGATGTGATGTTGCCATATTAAATGCCCTTTTCCTCTATACTTCTCTCTGTGTAAAAATACAACCTATTGCATTGATGAAATGTTTCAAAATTGCACAATGAAACAACATGGTTGAAGTGATACTGAAATTGTACAAATTTATACATTGTGTTATATTTTATTATTTATTATTCTTCTCTATTACAATTTTGGTGATACTTGTGCACTCCACATTTGGGAGTCACACTCATGGTCTTCGCGGTCAAAAGTGACTGGACACCTGAAATGTAACTTTTTTTTTCTTCAGTAAAATCAATCTAATATATTTTTGTTCAGTAATATTTTTTTGAGATAATTTTATGGTACTAATTAATATTTATGCAATAATTATGATAAATTTGCCCATTGAAAATAGTAAAACATTTTGTTCTCATTTTTTACAATTATTTTTCAATTAATGCAGTATTTCAGATTAAAATAGAGACTATGCCTTTAAAATCCCATTTTTGAAGGCAGAATAGCACCTCCTGGTAAGAGCAAAAAAAGAAAAACCTGTAATTTCATGGTGTAACCACTAGATTCCTGTATAGGACTCAATAGAGAGGCTTGTGGATTCCCTAGTTGTTTTTATTCATAATTTT